ACTTCCTAAAACACCACTTAGAATTAATTTTAAGACCCAAAATTTTGGTATGTAATCTCTTCAACCCATAAAATAACTTCAATATATATTTTTTAATTGTACCCTCTATGCAATTGAAAAAAATAATGTCTCGAGATTGAATAGAGGCCATCCAAATTTTAAATAGTGAAATATAAGTGTTGTGAAAATTCAAAATTTCAAAGTTTCTTGAGAATAATTATTTAGTAAATCTAAAGTGGTTCCCAAAACTCTATATTTCAATAATCTTCTCAAGTAGGTATTCTTACCGAAGGAGTAGAATTAAACTATGTTCCTAACAGAGCATATTAAACCTTTTTATTTTTTAAAGTCTTCCAAATGATTCCCAGTCTAATTAAGCGAGTGCTTCTAAGGTCCTCAAGAGTGGTTGTTTCGCCCGAGGGAGCAAGTGCACATTTCTTTTCTGATAATTAAAAAAAATGTTTTCGGAATTATATTATCGATTAAAAAAAGAAAAAACAAAAGATTTCATACTCCCATCGGAGTAGATTGTCCATCTAACTCCCATAGGTAAAACTCATGTTAGGAATATGTTTTATATACACAATTTTGGGATGTAATCTCTAGAACCCAACAATCAAGAAAAAAAAAATAACTGTCACTCCCTACATACCTTAAAAAAAATGGCATTCCAAGATTGCACGGGACTTGTCCATTTTTTGGAGGGAATGAACTCAAAACGCAATTATTTTTCACTGAAAATAATCATAATGGATCTCAAAAATTTGAATAGAAAAAAATCTCCCAAAGTAACTATTTTGCCCGAGGGAGTTGTTGTCCAATATACGCTCCCACCATCTCAAAAAAAAAAAAAAAAAAAAAAAAAAAGAAGAAAAAAAGAAGAAAAAAGAAAAAGGAGAAGGGCAAATGGAAAGCAGAAAAAGTGGTTAAGTGGGTTAATCGCAGCCTCCTACTTTGAAAAAACTATTAAACAACTAAAGTTATTACAGCTCACTATGCACCACTTTCTGCATATATTGGTTTTTTTTTTTTGGGGGAGTTATATGGTAGGAATTGAAGTTGAGCATTAATGTTGCAAAAATCAACCACTAACCACTCAAGTCACATGCTAATATTTTTTTGAATATATAACAGTTTTGTATTTTAATATGTCACGATTATTTAATATATGAACCCGTGTTTCAATACTCAGCGATTTCCGGTCCAATTTGCCGATGTTCAATATTGGAAGCTTAAGACAAGCAGGGTGAATTTCAATAATTTTGGAAGTATTTTGATACTTTAGCTAAGGTCTCTTAACTGGTTAAATTAGAGCCGAACTAACTCGAGCGAGTTTAGACCCGAGTATGTGATTTGTAAGTCAAGCAAGCATTGGAAATTGAAGAAGAATGGAATGATCCGGAAAACAAATGTAGGATCGTTTCACATAAATTTGCAAGAATAAGAAAAACATAATTAATGACAGTATATATACACCCTTCTATGCATCTCTTTTCTCCGATTAACTTTTTTTTTTCCTGTTCTGTAAGACATATTTTTTCTTTCTTTTTTTAGCATAAATAAGACATATTTTTTCTTTTCTAAATAAAATCTTAGTAAGTTAATAAGTTTCATTAGTTATAACTACAAAGTCGTGCCTTCTTCAAGTTGCCATGTGCCTGGTCTGCAAACTATATTTGGCACTAATTCTTTCTTGGATAGAACCTCAATATTCTTATTTCAGTGTCAAAACAAGTCTTAACACCAATCTAAGTTTCATAACTGAAACAGAACAAGGTAAGCTTCCTTTTGCTTGTTTTAATGGTGGATAAGGTAGACATACCAAGCAGGTTCCAACTGACCTCTGTGCTCGGTCCCTATTTCGCATGTGAGGATCTTCTGCGAGTCCCCTGTCTCATTCATCTGTGTCGGTTTTCAAGGGTTTTAGGACTTGAAACATATCCTAAATTACTGCAAATCTATTTCCTGCAAAATCTATTTCCGACCTAGATCCATAAGTTGGACCCCTGAAAATAATGTACACCTGATGATCTTTAAAGAATTAAAATGAAATGTCAAAAGAAGGTACAAACTGAAGCATTTTTAAGGCTCATTTTTTTTTTTTTTCCTTTTCAGATTCATGATTGTGCTTGTCGAGATAATGGAACTGTGAAGTTTTGGATCTAAAATTAATCCCTAACATAAAATTTAGAAGGTGGATGCGTTAGAATAGGCATATCAACGTAATCAAAACCTTTTTCCAACTTAAAATCGACTAGAATAGGTACATATGGGGAAAATAGAAGTCCAAAACCCTCCTTTGCTTATTTCCTCTTCATTTCGATTAAAGTTAAATCTTTTAAGCAAATAATAAGCCAATTTTTAGAAGAAAGTACAGGTCCCAAAATCTCCATGTAAAACATAAATAGTGCAAAATCTTTGATCTTTAGTAAGATTTTGTGCCAATATAATGCAAATATTACCAAAATGCCATGCCCACTACACAGTGGCATCCTTTGATTCTTCTATTGTGGTATAAAAATTTGATAAAATTACTTAAGTCACTGCTCTTGTCAACCTTTCTCAAGTCCTAAATATGACCAAACTACCCTTCGGGGAAGACCATTGCCAAAATACTGATGCTAATGGGTGTAAAATCGCTCTCTAAACACATTATAAACGAACCCATTAAGTAGTGCTTGTTTGTGGCACAAGGGGCCATTAAGTGGTGCTTGTTTGTGGCACAAGGGGCCATTAAGTGGTGCTTGTTTGTGGCACTAAGGGGCGATTCCCCTGGCCGAGGCGAGTCCTGGCACACTGCTTTGCGACGAAAGTGCCAGTATATTTCCCCCCTGCCCCCCGATTCCCAGTGCTAATGGAAAAGGCGATGTTGCTATAGAGATGGTAAGATTATTATAAAGTAACGATTAAACATTGAAAAACTCAGAACAAGCAAGGGTATTTAAATCATTTTAAAAAATCTAGTCCATAAAAATAAAATAAAAAGAAAAAATTGATTTTACTAACCTCCTCAATCCTTAGCACCAGAGCTTACAAGTTTCTCATGCATAGCGTTGAAAGCAGTGATATCCGAAGACTGCAAATTCCTTTAGGCATCACCTTTAGAATTTTAAATTCTATAATCTAACATGTGCGTCGACACCCCCTCGAAATTTGAGTTCACCTCTCACCCAGATCGGTACAGATTGGGGCGCAAAAAATAGTGTACCAGTCTCTCTCTCTCTCTAAATTCTATATTCTAACATGTGAACCAGTCTGTCTCTCTCTCTCTCAAATAGGGAGTTTTGTGAGATGAACCAGTGGGGCATGTGTGAGCTCTTTTAAGTGTAAGCTCCAGAGCTTCTCTCTCTTGAGAGAGAGAGGAAGTAGCCATTGACCACGACCAGATAAAGAGAAGGGGAGAAGTAGTAGACATGGAGTTGCTTTCCAGAAAGGTAACAATTACCAACTACATTTTATAGAATGCGTTTATATACAATAATCAATTATAAAGTATGAAGTGGTTGCTCGAACTCCATTGACTAAGTCCGGAGATCAAAACAATTGTATAAAACTGAATCAAGGTTTCAAAAGATCGATCCGTGGCCCGGATCGTCAATCCAAATTGTCGATCTAACGACGTTCTAGATTGTCGAATTGGTGATTAAAATTTTAAAATATTGAAAAAAATTAAAAGAAGTGGGACCGGTTTCAATTGATTCTCTAGCATAACCGGCTAGTTATGTTAAAGAAATGGCAAGAATCAATCATCTCACGGAGGGAATTGACAAGTTATGGATATTTAGCGGTACAGACAATTCTTAATCTAGATCGACTAGTTCTGATCCGGATTGACATTTTTTTATTGAAGCCCAAAATTTTATACGCAAAATCCCTCTTCCCATTTTATATATTTGGGGATAAACAATACAAAAAGAAAATTTCTATAATTTTTGGGCTTAAGTCTTCATCTTCGGATCCTTCCTACGATATGTGTTGTTCCTTGGTTTTCCCCGTTTACAAAATTTATGACAATGAGGGCAAATAATTTGGTAAGGGGAACACTTTCTATTGTATATAAGTTATGTTCTTTCATGTATCCAGCTGTCTGATCTTTATGGAGAGTCGAAATGGACCCAATTACAATGTCACACCTCTTCATTATTTTATTTTTAAAATTTTTTATCAAACATTTTGACACTAAATTTTGGTTGTCCACTCCTCTTTTAGGGGTCATTTGGATATCTAGAAATATATTGTCTATTAAATATATTACTGGCCTAGTACATTACATTAAATGGATTGTCACTATTTAGGTAGTATTCAGATGCAACCCGAGAAATACATTGTTATTGTTTGGCTATGTCCGGAAGAAATATGGGAAATGCGTTACCAACATTTTTTTTTTTTGGCTTTATACCCAAAACATGGTTAAACGTAAAATCCCTTTTAGTATGTAGCTTAAACTTTATAATTACGGCATAAGAAGCCGCACCTTTTGTATGCCTTTGACGTGGTTTCAAGATGTTAACACATTGAAATAACATACTTTTATTACGATAAGCCATCATATTTTTTATGTTTTATGTTTTTTGTGCTAAAGCCCTTCAATCATCTCTCTCCACAAAACTTCCATGGGCAAATTCAAAAGAAAAAAAAAAAATTGGAGAAATTTTGATCGCAGAACCTAGAAGGCTTTTTGATTAAATAAAGTGTATTGGAGGAGAAATTAGGTTGGGGCATTGGAGGATATTGAAGAGTTAAATTAAATTTTTTAAAAAAAAACAATTCAAATACACTAATTTGACGATTCTCTGTGAGTGAACTTAAATATTTCGAATTTATCAACAAACAATAGCAGCAAAAAAGAAAAAATAAAGCCAAAAAAATAAACAGAGTGATCTTAACTCAAATCCGTTTACTTTTTTTAGAAATAAGCAATAGCTATATCTGGGTCTGGGGCTGTCGGGTTTTAGCGGCTAGTTGAAGAAGATGTGATTGGATATCGGTAAATAAACAATAGCTATATCTGAAGATGACTTTGGGCTATCGGGTTTTAGTGGCTCGTTAAAGACGATGGGACTTGGTTTTAGCTACGAGTTGAAGAATTTTTTTTTTTTTTCTTCTAGTTTATTAGGAAGTGAATGAGGAGATTTTTGGGTAACTAAAATAGATGTTTTTGGAAAATCTCGGTAATCTTTTTTCATTTTCTTACCATGTCTATCCAAAATTTCCTCATTTTTTTGGGAAATCTAGGTTACGCTTTTTCCATTTTCCGTATGTGTACCTAAACAACATTTACTTGTAATCTATTTCCATGTAATAGATTTTCAAGTTCTCAAACGGCCCCTAAAGTCGCAGTAAAAAAAATATAAACAAAGATTTTCAATAAAATAAAATTACAAAAATATTTTTAAAAGTTTCAAAAGTATTTTAGTTATTTTATTTTATTAAAAATATTTTTATATTATATTTAGATGTGCCTTATTGAGATGATGACACATACTAAATTTCATATTTATATGATTTGTAAATAAATAAAAATACTATAACGCACCGGATCTTAGATTAAACAGTCGACAATTCACTATATCTAAATTGGACGATTGGAGAGCTGGAGAAGTATATAATTTATATACAAAAGGGAAATTATAGAAAGCTTTCCCTTTGGAAGGCATAGTTGACATTGTGGAACTGGAAATTTCTGAGTGTTTTTTTAGTACAATTAGACGTCCAAGTCACTAAAAAAGACGTCAGTATTATCGTATCAAAATGGCTTTGGACCATGTATTTAGGGTTTAAGAATTAGTAATTTAAAGTAGGGCTAGCAGGGGGTGGGCCCACCATGGCCCGAGCATGGCTCAGTTTCCATAGTTGGCACAGCCTAATCCGGCCCGAGCCGAAGGGGCCCGGGCCTAGGCCTAGCCTTGGCCCGGTTTAGGACTGTCTGTCTAAGCAAGCTTTGTCATGACCATGTCCTAGCCTAGGCCTAGCCAACTCTAAGGTTGTGACGGACCAACTCTGGCCACTGGGCTGTATTTGTTCGAGGCTTGGTTAACCGGGCCACCCAAGCCATTGCCAGCCCTAAGTTCAAGGGTACTGTATTCATGTTTGAGCAGATCTCTAACCTAAAACAATTATTTAGTTAGTTGGTCATGTTTGGGGACTCTAATGACAAATCTATTATTATTATTATTAGGAAAAATACCAACCACCCTACAAAACCATTGAAGCGGTCAAATCATCCCATATTACATTAAAAAAGTTACTTTTGTAAGTAGGATACATCCTCAAACATATGTTAAAAATTTATCAAATTGCTCTATTTATTATTGTTAATGACCAAATTGATTTATAATTATTGTGGACTCTATAGAAGAAGGGCACTAATCCATCCCCATTTAACAGGCCTGAGCTATGATGACAGTACCCCTTATTCTCTTTCAAATGTAATAACTCAATTACCAATAGCAAAAAAAAATAAATAAAAGGATAAAACTACGCTTTAGTTAATGCAACAGAAAAAAGTGAAATAACTAAAATGTATAATTAAATATACCTTAAATGCATAATTAAATATACGTTTTTCTATCAAGAGATTAAATGAAAAATAATGGGTGTTGTTTATATAAAGCACCTACCTTACACAGTCAAAGTAAAGCGCGCATCCAAACCCAAGCGGAAGATGCAGTGTTAATGTTAGAAACTTTTATAATAGCTTGCAAATTTGTTTCCACTTTAATTATAAAATTTAAAAGTCGAAAAATCATGCAGATCAAACAGATCTATAAAAATTTTAGATTGAAATAATCATCTAAGAATTTTAAATTGATTCTCAAAATTTTAGATGGAAATAAATCCTACCAAGTTGGCCTTCTAACCACAACAGAGTAAAAGTAAACTATTCTCCCATTGAAGCATAATATAGTGCTCTTAGAATATAGGATAATTGATAGTGCTTTAGCAACATGTCAAAAAAAAGAAAAAAAAGTGATAGTGTTTGGCCTTGTAATCTTGTTAAAAGATACAACTCTAATATCGGAAACCTTTATGATTGCCTAAAATTCATTTTTACCACGTTATGAAAATGAAAGCTCTAGAAAAGGTGTAGATAGAGCAGATTTATAAACATTTAAAAACTTTGAAAATGGACGATGTACACTATGTGTTACAAGATACACTAATTTTAATTTACATCATTTTTTCGTATATTTGTACATCTTGTGGTTGAGATGATGAATTGTAGGATTTTTCAATATCGGAACAAACTTTTCAGGTAAATTTTTTATTGGCACCTTTCATTTATAAACTTTTTCCATATCTAATTCCTTACCTTGTTACCCTCAATTTCTTGATATTTCAAGTACCAATCTAATTATGTATAGGGAACAATGGTACTTTTCAATCTCTCAAAAAATTGGAAATAGTAAATTGCAATCACTTTGTTTGAATATTTTTATCGGCTATATTAAGCAAAAGTAGGATGGCAGAGGCCTTGGCCAAAAAGTATGGTGCTCCCTCATTTCTCCATATTTTTGTATATAATTGAGGAACTAAAACAATTCAAATCCATCGTCTTGACCCCCAAGATCAACACCCTAAAAAAATAGATGGTCTGGGAACTTTAGAAATGCTTCAACTTAATTGTCACCTCAACATGTGATTTTGGCCATTCATTTTAGTGGACCTTACATCAATAGATTTGCACTATTTTTGGAGATCTTACTTAGTTTTTTAAGGTGTAAATGGTTTTACAAAGGTTTAAAATAATTTTTGCATCCCCGATCTATAAAAATATAAACTTTGAGAGAGGCTTCATGGTGTTTGTACAAGTCAAGCAACCCTACTCCAAAAGTCTCATGCTAACCCTGTCCATAAATTAGAGGAAATTTACATCTAAACCCCTAACAATAGGCAGCTTTAAAAGAAGGACCTGGTTTCTATGTGGCCAAACCCACATATGTAGAAATGCGGGCCTCTTAATAAATCTATTTTTGAAATGGATTTTAAGACTTAATGTTTAAGAACATGTAATCTCTAACATGGAAATCATGAATATAATAAATAAATAAATTTTAAAAATTCAAAATAATAATTTTAATAAGAAAACATTTGGACTGTTATTTTCCATTGTTTTTAGATGGAACACCTACTTGCATCCATCTTTAAGATGGTTGCTTTACACTTTCTGGACCGCATATGTTGAAATGCGGTCCGACCTGCATGAAACAATTTTCCGCAAAAGAAACCTTAACCTTTTAGTAAAGAACAATTGTTTCTTGCCTGTTGGACCATATTTCTACAATATGCGGTCCAGAGGTATAAAACATCCATCTTAACGATGGTTACAATTAGGTGATCAATCTAAAAACAATTGTAACTACAGTTCAAATGTTTTTTTAATATA